CCCAAATGCTTCAGCCCCTGCCACCCGCATGGGAAATGCAGAGGAAGCTCCTGGCTTTGGTCTGGCCCAGATGCCCACTGGGCTATTTGAACAGTGCATCAACAGATGGAAGAGCTCTCTCTCTGTAACTCGATTATCAAAATGAATAAATATTTAAAATATTTAAGTGTGTGCATATATACATATATATATATTTATATATATAAATAACCCAATATGGGAAAAATGCTGAATAAAAAGTGTGATGATATAAAAGATTAATCTTCCCCAAGTGAGGCCCTGGGCTCCTATGAAGCTAAATCCTTGGCATGTCCTTCCAGATAAGGGTGCCTGTTTACCTAGGCATGTTGCCTTGCATCAGATGGTCTATGCTAACAATGCAATTTATGGTGAGGGCTTTGGACTACACAGTGGTATTAGTTCTACCTCTGGAAGGGCTGGATATTACAATCAGTCATGTGAGGGTCAACTTTAACAAATCCCCAGTATAAACCTCATGCTCCAAGTGAGCTTCCCTGGTTGGCAATATTCTGTGAGTATTGTTACATGCTGTTCCCAGGAGAAGTTAATGCTGCCAACAACTCAACTGGATAGGAAAATTGGAAACATCATGCTTAGAATTTTTCTCAACTCAGCCCACATTCCATTCCCCTTGACTGATTTTAATTTCTATTTTACTGTAAGAAAGCATAACCATAAGTAAGAACAGTTTAACAAGTTCTTTTAATGAATTATCAAAATTGAGAGTAATCTTGGGGATCCCCTAATCTCTTAAGTAAAATCAGAAATGAGGATACTATTCAAGATTCACTAACTTTACACATCCAATAATTGTAGGATCTCACTAATACAACTAAGTAAGAAGATAATGAATAAGATGAACAGTGAAATATATATAACAAATTATAAACAAAAACAGAAAAAATATTAATAGAATTTGCTTTGTATAGATACTAATTCTTTCTTTTTACTTTCTCCTTTATTATTTGCTTGCTACTTCCAAGTGTCATTCTATACTTCAAATGGCATATACTATTAAATACACATTGATAAAGATCAAATGGGGTTTTTAATAGTTCATAAATTAGTTTTTTAAATGTACTTGCATAATACCAAAGAGCAAAAAAAGTTACACGAGGGTTAAAAATGACCTAACAGCTAAGAGAGTATTCACAAGTACAGACTTTATTTTTTAAATACTTGTTAAACTTGCAGAGAATAACATTAGAACTACTCAGTTAAAGCCTCCAAAAGACCCATGAAAATGAATCTTTTTACTCACACATCCTACAAAATGTGATTACACAGATCCAAGTAGGAAGTTTTGAGTTCAGTTAAAGAGTGGAAGTGCAGATATTTTAGAACCAGTCAGGTTTGTTTTCTTCAAGGGAATTTATAAATATTTAAACCTTTACATTCATTTGTGGATTCCAAAGTTTCTCCCTTAACTGTTCTAATACCCACTCAAAAAAAAAAAAAAAAAAAAAGGCATCTGGTAAAACCCATGAATCTTGCAAAACTCCTGAGCCTAGAATGCCTGAAGTCTGTCTTTAATGATTAGTCCAGAGTCTTTGCTAAAAACCTTCATGAACTCGCTGGCGCCATGGCTCACTAGGCTAATCCTTTGCCTGTGGCACCGGCACCCCGGGTTCTAGTTGGGGCGCCGGATTCTGTCCCAGTTGCTCCTCTTCCAGGCCAGCTCTCTGCTGTGGCCCGGGAAGGCAGTGGAGGATGACCCAAGTCCTTGGGCCCTGCACCTGCATGGGAGACCAGGAGGAAGCACCTGGCTCCAGGCTTCGGATCAGCGCCACACACTGGCCGAGTACGCTGGCCGTGGTGGCCATTTGGGGCGTGAACCAATGGAAGGAAGACCTTTCTTTCTTTCTCTCTCTCTCTCTCTCTCTCTCTCTCTAACTCTGACTTTCAAAAAAAAAAAAATCGTTCGTGAACTCAAAAAATAGGAAACCTTTTGACTTTCTCCTACCATTTCTGTAGAAAATTTCACTTGAGACATCTACCTATCATTTTACCCTTCAACAAATTTTAGAATTGAATTTCTCCATTTTAGTACCAGTATTCTACAATTGACCGCTGTTTTAGCCAAATTTATTTCGTTTAAAAACAGTTGTCACTATCTAACAAGACCCTTCTCAAAATTCAGAATCCTAAATGCTCTGAATTCTATGGACTAAAAACAACTGTCAATCAAACTATAATTACAATGAAGATTATAGGCTGCTAAAGCCTCTTAAACCTTAAGTTATTAACACTTGCTACAATCAAGAGGGCAAGAATAATCCCTAAAATGAATTACATCATAACATGACATGGGATAAATTCTAGAACTTGGATCTCATCTTTTAAAAATGTTTCTCAATTAAAACAATGGGATGGGGCCAGTGCTGTGGCACAGCGGGTTAATGCCCTGGCCTGAAGTGCTGGCATCCCATATGGGTGCCAGTTTAAGACGCGGCCAATCCACTTCCAATCCAGCTCTCTGCTATGGCCTGGGAAAGCAGTAGAGGATGGCCCAGGTCCTTTGGCCCCCATGGGAGACCTGGAGGAAGCTCCAGGCTCCTGGCTTTGGATGGGTGCAGCTCCGGCCATTGCAGCCAATTAGGGAGTGAACCAGCCAAAGCAAGATTTCTCTCTCTGCCACTCCTCTCTCTGTGTAACTCTGACTTTCGAATAAATAAATAAATCTTTAAAAAAAAAAAATGGGGCATATAGACTAGCTAAAACAAAAAAAAGACACTTTTTCTATGATAATGAGATTTTTGTTATCTATAATACAAATAGATATACACCTTATATCTATTAGGATATCTTCAAAATCATCAACCTTATTTCAGTAACAACTGCTATATCCACTGGATTCCTTATCTATAAGGTCAATCCTAATACCTCCCTGGTAGAGATATACTAAAGAACTAAAGGACCAGATACAGAACTAGAACACAAACGCAATCAGTAATTATTAGTTGATTTAATTAACCATGAAATCCTACTGAGAGCATATTCTATAATCATGTCCAATAAGTTAATTATTCAACTTCGAGAGATGGATATTTAAGCTAAATCAACAGGTCTGATCCATTCAGAAACAAATCTATTTAAAATGATATATTTCTTCAGGAGTCATAACAAGGCTGTTTAGAGTCAAGGGTAGCAATTTGTAATGTTGGTCATGGGCATTTTCCCAAACAAAATCATCATTCCTTTTATATCACAGACTATAGAAATTCTGGCATCATCTCAGTTAATAATGCAGTGTTTCAAGCTGAGAAAAGATTCTTATAGGGAGGAAAATTCCCTCAAATGTATGTGTCAAAATTTCAGTGTTTTTTGTTTGTTTGTTTTTTGTTTGTTTTTTTTGTTGTTGTTGTTTTTTTTTTTGACGGGCAGAGTGGACAGTGAGACAGACAGAGAGAAAGGTTTTCCTTTGCCGTTGGTTCACCTGCGCGCTGCGGCCGACGCACCGTGCTGATCCGATGGCAGGAGCCAGGTACTTATTCCTGGTCTCCCATGGGATGCAGGGCCCAAGCACTTGGGCCATCCTCCACTGCACTCCTGTGCCACAGCAGAGAGCTGGCCTGGAAGAGGGGCAACAGGGACAGAATCCGGCACCCCGACTGGGACTAGAACCCAGTGTGCCAGCGCCGCAAGGCGGAGGATTAGCCTAGTGAGCCGCGGCGCCGGCCAAAATCTCAGTGTTCTAAGTACACACACAAAATTCCCAACTGAGATCATAGGCCCAGCACACATACTGCAGAGGAGCTATGTTAATTATGATCCTTTCATCAGGATGACCAACACCTCTCTGATTGCTATTCTGGGTGCCAAGGGAAAGAGACCTTTGGAACTTCTCTTACCACCAAGTACATGCTTCTACCCACAAGTAGTGCCACCTCCACTTACATTTTTATGGCCCAAGCGTGTCACCCAGTAATACCTAACGTGAAAGAGGCAGGCAGTTTGTGCCCAGAAATAGAGAACTGAATATTGGCAGTAGCTTTATTGCCTCCACAAGAGGATCTTAGCAGCCTACCTTGTAGAAAAGAGATGACCCTCTGTCACAATTAACATGTAGGGGAGAAGGTGCCAAAACGTTCATAAAAGGAATGCCAACTCTACCTTTCACACTCGCTGCCTCTGACATAACTCCCTCTTTAATCAATAGCATGGATCTTTATCCTCTCACTGGAGGATTGTTTTGTTCTCAGGCTTGGAAAAAGCTCACTTGAGGCAGGTAAAAACCGACAGGCAGACTACAAGTCACACTACTTTTTATCCCTCTAGATTCTCCATATAATGTCCCTCATGCAACTTCAGAAAGTATTATATACACAGATCATATTATCTCAACTCCAAGTAGAGTTCTATTTGATGAGTAAAACGCAGTTAGAAATAAATTAGGAGCAAAAGTATTTGCCTTCCTCTCACATAGTAATTCAGGCAGGAAGACAATTCAATACTATGTATTTAGCTCCAGTAACAGTAATTAAATCTAAAATATTTCCATTCAGTACTTCTAAGGAAAGTCTTTGAACTGCTCAGGTGGAATAACAGAATTCATTTTACATATCATTCATATTTCCATTAATATTCTAACTTCCTTCATGCATGATCAAGTGTCACAAACAGTAGAGATTCTAAGAAAAGTAACATACCACCAAAAATATGTTACAATATGATGTCATCACCTAAACTCCTTAAATCTTTATGTTTAATTCTTTAAAAAAAAAACTTTTCAAGGAAAGTTTTCAGTTGTGGAAGCTACAGTTTGATTCTAAATCCCTTTGTTATTTTCTTTTCTAATACACATTCATCTTATGAAAAACATAATCCCATAATTTGTCTCAAGGAGAGCTACTTTGAATTTATTACACAAATAATAAAAATAACAAAATAAAAAACTAATTATAAACAAAATGAAATAATTTAAAGGAACCAATTCCAATGTGTTTTGATAATGTTACAGTATTGAAAATAATACTTACAAAGGTTCTGGGCAATTTTAGAATCTAGAAATTTAAGTTCTTTAATTTTTTTCTTAATAGCTTTCTTCTCTTCAAAATCTTCCTCTTCTCTTTTCTCTGTAAAATCAAAGATAGATCTATATTAGGGCAGTAAGGCACACAACTGCAAAAGGACAGGAAGTGAACTTTCCATCAAACGAACTAAAAAAGATTAAAAAAAATCTTCTAAGTCACAGTTATAATAACAGCAATATAATAGATAGATCAAATCCTAAACTGTTTCAGATAAGAACTGGTAGCTCTCATGCTAGAAAAACTACTAGAGGTAAATATTTAAAGCTCTAACAGGAAAAACGAAAATAAAACTGAACAGTAAGGGAAACTAGTACCATTTGATGGAAGAATAAATATAGTTAGCAAATTTGAACAGCATAAAATTACAGAAATATACTCAGGACGGGTTAAGAAATTCGCTCTAAATTGCTAAACAAAAACATGCAGCTATTTTAATAGATCATGCTTATTAGAAGACATAACACCCAAAAATAGGTAAATTGATTGCAATTTGTTTTTCAAAACTTTGAAAAAAAAGCCAAATTTTAATACTCAAGTTCTTTTGACTGAGCATTTTAAAATCGATAAATGAGTTTAACCACTTTTTCCTGGATAGAAATATACAGCAATAAATAGATCATGCTAAGCAATAAAAGATCACCTGTAGATACAGTACAGTATATATTTGTCAAGGTTAACTGCTATAACCAATTAAGCGATCCTATCATCTGTCTTCTTTTGTGTACACGTCTAACATTTATGGTGAAAGCCAATCATCTTATTAAAATCTGGGTAACAAAAAACAGTAGGAAATTGTTTAGGCAGACACATACAAGTAAATATTCAAAGCACATTCAGGTGATAGCTGCTGTAAGATCTTCACATATATAAGATGCTCTAGAATTTATTTTTAAGACAAAAGTACAGCTGGTGCCGCGGCTCAATAGGCTAATCCTCCACCTAGCAGCACCAGCACACAGGGTTCTAGTCCTGGTCGGGGCGCCGGATTCTTTCCCGGTTGCCCCTCTTCCAAGCCAGCTCTCTGCTGTGGCCAGGGAAGGCAGTGGAGGATGGCCCAAGTGCTAGGGCCCTGCACCCCATGGGAGACCAGGAGAAGCACCTGGCTCCTGCCTTCGGATCACCGTGGTGCGCTGGTCGCAGCGCGCCAGCTGTGGTGGCCATTGGAGGGTGAACCAATGGCAAAAGGAAGACCTTTCTCTCTCTCTCACTATCCACTCTGCCTTTCAAAAAAAAAAAAAAAAGACAAAAGTACTATATGGTAATTACACATTTTGGTACATTGTTTCAAGATGCTCCAGAATTATATTTTTAAGACAAAAGTGGTATATGGTAATTACATGCTTTGGTACATAGTTTGAAATCAGGACTTCGTTATTTCTCAAAACATTTTTTAACTAGTTTTTTTGTCCAAAAAGAAAAATTTTTTGTAACATGAGTTTAATTAAGTCTGACTACCAATTTTAAAGAAGTATTTAAGGAAACACACATTAAATAATACAAAATGACAGACCAAATTTAGTTTTAAATATTGTCCACATGTTTTCATCAGGTAAAAAAAATCCTGAGTTTGAATTACCATGGAAACAATTATGCTCAAAGGTTACAAATACATGGTAATTTAAATCCAAAGTAAATTTTTTCCAGAAACCTTTTATTAAAGGTATACAAACTTAATGCATTTCATAAAAACAACAGTAACACAGTGATTCTTCCCACTCTATTTTCCCTCCCACCTACATTCCCACCCTTCTTCCTCCTTCCTCTTATTCCCATTCTTATTTTTTACTAAGATCTACTTTCAATGAACTGTATAAGCATACGATTAACTCTATACTAAAGTAAACTGCTGAACAGTTGAGACAAGAATTGTTCAAAGTCATTGTATCTCAAAGTGTCAATTTCACTTTTGTAGATTGCATTTAGGTGCTCTATTAGTTACCAGAGATCAAGGAGAATATATAGTATTAGTCCTTTTGGGAATGACTTATTTCAGTATGTATGACGTTTTCCAGTTGCATCCATTTTGATGCAAATGACAGGATTTCATTTTACGTGGAGTACTGTGTAGTACTCCATGGTGTACATATCTCAGAATTTCTTTACCGAGTATTCAATTGATGGACATATGGGTTGATTCTATACCTTAACTATTGTGAATTGAGTTACAATAAACATGGGGGTGCAGATAATATTTTCATATGCCAATTTCATTTCTCTCACATAAATTCCTAGGAGTGGGGTGGCTGGGTCATATGGTAGGTCTATATTCAGATTTTTGAGGTATCTCCATACTGTCTTCCACAGTGGCTGTACTAGTTTACATTCACAGCAACAGTGGATTAGGGTACATTTTTCCCACATCGTTGCTAACATTTGTTGTTTGATTTCTGTATTTAAGCCGTTCTAAAGGGGCGGGGGGACCTCTTTGTGGTTTTGATTTGCATTAACCATCAATCCTGAGCATTTCTTCAAGTGTCTGTTGGCCATTGGATTTCCATTTTTGAAAAATGCAGGCCCACTTGTTACCTTGGTTGGTTGTTTTATTGTTTTTAAGGTCCTTTAGCTCTTTATACATGCTAGATATTAATCCCTTATCAGTTGCATAGTTTGTAAATAATTTCTCACATTCTGTTGATTGCCTCTTCACTTCGCTTTTTTGCAGTGCAGAAACTTCTCAATTTGATGTAGTCGCATTTGTCAATTTTGGCTTTCACGGCCTGTGCTTTTAGAGACTTTCCAAGAAGTCTTTGCCTATACCAATATCTTGAAGAGTTTCCCCAACGTTCTCTAGTAATTTGATAGTATCCTGTAGTGGATATAGATGACTGATGCATTTTGGCTTTTTTATTTTTTTTATTTTTTTGACAGGCAGAGCTAGACAGTGAGAGAGAGAGAGAGACAGACAGAAAGGTCTTCCTTTTTCCATTAGTTCACCCCCCAAGTGGCCACTACAATCTGCACGCTGTGCCGATCTGAAGCCAAGAGCCAGGTGCTTCCTCCTGGTCTCCCATGCGGGAGCAGGGCCCAAGGACCTGGGCTATCCTCCACTGCACTCCCTGGCCACAGCAGAGAGCTGGACTGGAAGAGGAGTAACCAGGACAGAATCCAGCGCCCCAACCAGGACTAGAACCCGGGGTGCTGGCGCCGCAGGCGGAGGATTAGCCTAGTGAGCCGTGGCTCCAGCGACTGATGCATTTTGACTGAATGTTTAAGGTGTAAGGAAGGGGTCTAGTTTCATACTTCTGCACATGGAGATCCAGTACTCCCAGCACCATTTATTAAAGAGACTGTCCTTGCTCCAGGGATTGATTTTAGCTCCTTTGTCAAAGATAAGTTGGTTGTAGATGCATCGATTGATTTCCATCGTTTCTATTCTGTACTACAAGTCTGATTTTGTGCACCAGGGTATGTTGATTATAAATGTCATGTAGTAAGCCTTGAAAACCGGTATTGTGATGCCTCTGCCTCTGGCTTTGTTTCTGTTGTATAAAATTGCTTTAGCTATTCGGGGTCTCCTGTGTTTCCATATGAATTTCAGTATTGTTTTTTCTACATCTGAGAAGAATATCCCTGGTATTTTGATTGGTATCATATTGAATCTGTGAATTGCTTTCTGTAGTATGGACATTTTGATTATACTGCTTCTTGCAATCCATGAACATGGAAGGTTTTCCATTTTTTTATGACTTCTTCTATTTCTTTAATGTTTTATAATTCTCATCATATAGAACTTTGACATCCTTGGTTAAATTTATTCCAAGTTATTTAACTTTTTTGTAGCTAGTGTGAACAGGTTTGATGTTAGAAGTTCTTTCTAAGCTATAGCATTATCTGTATAAACAAAGGCTACTGATTTAAAGCGTTGATTTTATACCTGCCACTTCACCAAAATCTTTTATAAGTTCAATAGTCTCTTTTTTATTTCAGATTTATTTATTTGAAAGGCAGAGTTACAGAGAGGTGGGGGAGGGTGGGTGGAAAGAGAGAGACAGAGGTCTTCCATCTGCTGGTTCACTCCTCAAATGGCCACAATGGCCGGAGCTACACTGATCCAAAGCCACGAGACAGGGACCTCTGTCGCTCCCCGTCTTCGTGGAGGAACGACACTAAACCCTGCCTAGGCTTCATATCCGAGTCACAGCACCATTATGTCACTCCCCGTCTTCGTGGAGGAACGACACAGGACCCTGCGCTGTTCTTTTGTCTGCTCGGCCCTCCCCGGGTTTGCTGCCGGTTCTCCCCCGGTTGGCTACCGACCCTTCCACCTCCGTGGAAGGGCAGTTCCCCCTGCCGCTTTCCCCACTTCCGCAGGGGAGCGGCATACCGCCGGCCGGCTCTCTCGGGGGCTGCACAGGTGTTCCTTCAGATAGCTGTTCCTGGTGCATGTTGTCTCTCTCCTTCTTTATAGTCCTCTTCCACCAATCCCAACTCTGCTACCCACACGCTGAGTATGCTGCTCTCCTCCAATCAGGAGCAGGTCCTACAGTTTATTGGTTGAACTGGAGGCAGCTGTGTAGAAGCTGTTTCCTCCTCTCCCAGCGCCATATTGTGGGAGAGCAGATGCATAGAATAAGTCTTAATTCCAGTAACTTAGTCTAGTCCGAGTTGCTCCCAGTTGCTCCCCACAAACCTCCTCCAGGTCTCCCATGCAGGTGTAGGGGTCCAAGGACTTGTGCCATCTTCTACTTCTTTCCCAGGCCATAGCAGAGAACTGGATTGAAAGTAGAGCAGCTGGGAACTCAAACTGGTGCCCACATGGGATGCCAATACTGCAGGCACCAGCTCTACCCACTAAGTTGCAGTGCCAGCCCCTCCAACAGCCTCTTAGTGGAGTCTTTGGATCCCCTATATATAGAACCATGTCATCTGCAAACAGGGATAGTTTAAATTCCTCTTTCTGAAAAAATTTTTTTTTGGACAGGCAGTGTTAGATAGTGAGAGAGAGAGACAGAGAGAAAGGTCTTCCTTTTCCATTGGTTCACCCCCACAATGGCCACTGCGGCCGGCACACCACGCTGATCTGAAGCCAGGAGCCAGGTGCT